TGTTATGAAACTAGGTGCGAAAGTGTACTTTGATGATGGAGTTATTGATTCAATGTGTTACGACATTTTGGAGCTGTTTTGTAAAATCTTTTACACTCAAAAAATAAAGCTTTGTATCTGCATTCCTAAAGTTAAGCCTTTTATTGGAAACGAGAAAACGGTATTTTGTCAGGAATCCCTATACATATATAATCGAAAAAAAATTAATTAAAAAAATATAAATATAGATTTATACAGAATTATACAAGCTTAAGACCCAATTAGATCGTTTAAAGCATTTGTTTTTCACGTATACGTCCTACGAGATTTAATATTATAAATATAAATGTTTAAAAGGAATTTTCAATAACGCCTTCTCGGCGTTATTGTGGCTGAGTCACAATGACTCGAGACATTTTTAAACATCTGTATTTTCTTACATACTTTGTAGATATTTTAACTAACCGTCCTGTAGCCGGAGCTAAGACTTTCTAAAACCATTGTTGACATTGCGAGAATAGACTAAAAAAATATTCGGATTATCATGATTCATCTTAACGTTCGTGTAACATTTTAGCACTACAATGACGTCGGGTTAAAATAGTAATAACAAAGATATACAAGGCTAATAAGAGAAATATTTGTATTTCATTTTTACACTCAAATTAAATAAGTGTATAATATGACTTTAATATAATGACTTAAATATTATATACATTCAGTTCGCACTAATGCATCCAACTGAATTTGCTATAAGTTTGCTGCGAATTCGGAACCGAATCTGAGAACCGAATCTGGGTTCGACTTTTATTATTTGGATCTTAGATTCGATATCTTAGATATCTTAGAAAGTTCGAATATTTGGATAATCTGAATTTGAAGTACTACATTCATTCGTAATTCAAATAGCTTTAATTAGAATCAATCTTGAAGCCTTACTGCTTACGTCTTGCTGCCTTAAGTTTATTGTGGGCCCTTAGTTAATAAACAGGGTACAATTTTGTTCCCGCTTCTTTTGTTAAATATTAATTAATTATAAACAAATAGACATCAATAATGAATAAATTATTTTTTCATCATCATTCTTAACTTAGTTAACAATTATCAGCGTGTAATTCCGTTTCCATCAGATCTCCTTTTAAATATTAAGTTATAAACAAATGGAGATCGTTATCAAATAAATTGTTTTGTCATTATTATTTCCTAGCTTAGTTAACAAATACCAGTGTATAATTTCATTTTTATTCAATCTCTTTTTGTTATGTATTAATTTATAAACAAATAGAGATCGAAGACAAATCAATCACTTTTTTGTTATCATTTCCTAGCTTAGTTAACAATTATCAATGTGTAATTTCCATTCGATTTTATTTTGTTAAATATTAATTAGAAACAAATATAAATTAATGATTTTTTACTATCATTTCCTAGCTGAGTTATTAATGAAAATTAACAAATACCAGTTTATAATTTCGTTTACTATGCACCGTGCACCGCCGGCGCTTATTGCATTGCATTGCATCAATCATACGCTACTGCACTTTTGTGTCAAAACATCCATTCTGACTGAACGACTAACACACTCTCGTGACGAAAGTGCAATAGTACATTTGGCTTCGACGAAGGCGATAATAACGACGATAACAACGATGACGTATCTTAAACTGTATGTGAAAAGTTTCACATCAGGACTTTGCGAATATCTCCACTCGTAGGGCACATAGGAAAAAAATAAAAGCCCTTTTATTACACAATTTGAGTGGATATCGATTGAGCATATGTAGAACTTGATCGGTTCAGCTGTTATTGAGATCTAATAATCTCAATCTCCCGTAACTCAGTTTTGCGTAAAGTAGCCTCGCGCCTTAGCGCCGAGACACTATCAATGTCTCCAGATAGAAAAATATACCATTATTATATAATTAATTGTTCATTTAGGTAATTGAATAATTAATTATTTAATAACCTAAATATCACATTATGTTGGTAACAGTAAGATACGATAAAATTATCGCATCTTATTATATAAACGGTATATTTTTTTCATAACATCTATCTTATTCTAACATATAGAGACATTTCTGGATTAAATTATATAGTTTCTTAGAAACATTATATCATTTTTGTTACATAGCTTAAATATCATTTTTAATCATAAAAATAATAAATTTCAGATTACTTACCCGCTATATTTGATAAATTTTCTATAATTATCGTTTTCGTTATATTGCTTAGATATCGTTTTAAATCTATTTCTGGTCATGTTTTATTGAAATTAATAATATACTATAAAAAATATATGAACAGACAGACAATTGAGAACAAAAATTGAGACGCAGTAATTAAAGCTCCAGCCTTCGTACTCCAACCTATGTTCTGTGATTGGTTGCCGGTTTTCCTATTAATATTATTACGGTGTTCAGCAATCCTAGTTTTAAGTTTTCATCCAATCTGTTCTACATACGAGGCATTATAGTCCCTAAGCAAATCTTACTATATTCTTATTACAACTATGTGGAAGTACATTCTTTTGAGATTTAATGATCCCATCAAGTTTATATTCATACTAAACCATGCCAATTTAACCTTTAAATTTTTAGTGATGTTTTTAAATTTACCATAAAGATGTGGCAGGAATGGAATTGTGAATCACGTAGTTATCTCTTCATTGTTAGTGTCGAGATCAACCTGCCTCAGTGTCTGACGTTTCAGTAAAGATCTCAATTGCGAATTTATTGTGTCGAAAATAAACTTTACGGGATAATTATTTTCGAAAAAGGTGTTAACAATAAATCTGAGATTATCTTCATAATACTTCGGATAATAATATCGTTTTATCTACAACGCTCATTAGAACACCTCTCTTTTGTGAATGAATGGAAGGATAAGAAATTAAGATACCTCCCCGAAAAAGTTAGTTTATGAAACACGTTAAATTCTAATGTACTATTGTCATTAATGATTGTGACATCCAAAAAATTTAGTCTATTTCTTCCAATTTTTACTCTCAATTGCTTGTCTATTCATATATTTTTTATTGTTAATCTTGAGAGCTCAATTTTATTTTTAAACTTCTATATTTAATAATATGCTATTGTATTTTTAAATTTTAAATATCAGATTACTTGTTTAAAGTATGCGACATATTTCTTTTATTTCCGTATTTTTGTCATACAACTTAAATGTCGGTTTTAATCAATTATTTTAGTCGTATTTTGTCAAAATTAATAATATTCTTTTATGTCTTTAATCGTAAATTTCAATTACAATTAAATTTTAGATTCTAGAATTTACGAATTAAAAATACGGAAGAATGTTATTAATCTTGATAGAAATTTAGTGAAAACGATATCTGAGATGACAAAAATGATACAGAAATATAGAAAATCTATCAAATTTTAAAAAAGTAATCTGAAATTTATGATTCAAAAACACGATGGGATATTATTAATTATTAATTTTCGTAAAATGTAACCAGATGGAAATTATTTAAAATAATGAAGATATATAATAAAAATGATAGAGAAATATAGAAAATTTATATCAAGCAAGTAATCTAAAATTGAAGATCAAAAAGGATTCTTAAAGTACATGATAAATATGATACAATATTTATAAGAACCTATGTAATTTAATCCAGAAATGTCTCTATAATTATCACATGCTAAAATATTCAGACAAGCGTGCGATTATAGCTTAGCGTTAGAGTGTTAAACTATCACCCCGTAGGTCGTAGGTTGAATCCCGTCGATTCCGATGCGTTTTCAAAAATTGTAAATTTCTGATACATATAATTAATGAACTGCACGTGAAAATATAAATTAATTCTACAAAAAAATAATAAAAAATAAGAATTGTATTTTAATAATTATGAAAAACTTTTTTTAAAATAATATGAAATTTAATATACAATACTAGTAATTATGATAAAACATAACCAGAAATTGATTCAAAACGATATCTGAACCGTGCGACAAAAATGATAGAGAAATGTAGAAAATCTATCAAATATTTCAAATAAGTAATCCGAAATTCACGAATCAAAAACATGATTCGATCAGATAGAGTTTTTTCCTATCTGATTTTATTTAACTTTTTAAATAGGGGCTAAGTCCGCGCAAAAAGTTAAATTATTTTAAACGTATATAATAATGTTGAAATATATCATTAATCATGCATAAAAATAATTTATATTGTATAATAATGTACACAATGATGTTGGAACACTTTACTAATCATGTTTAAACATATAGAAAATAATTACATACAGTAAGTTAAGTAAGATCGGCCTTACTCAAAGCTAATAAAAGATATCGCCCTAAATCTATCATGAATCCATAGAGGGCACCTTTGTCCTTGATGCACTATCAAGAAAGATTCAGTTGTTATTTTCAGTTGTCAACTTTCTTAAGAGAATCACATTAAGCGCCATGAATACCAAATACGCATCATGCTATGAAGCTGTGTTCCTCTGCACTCACCCAAAAATGTCACAATTAGCGGCTACTAAATATATGAAAAAGTCAAAATCATTCGTACAGTAGTGGGTGCAGCGATATAATGTGGCAAAAAATGTCGATGATTTACCGGAACGTGGCTCGATATGCAAAGTGGACAAAAAAGACGATAAAAAAATAGTGAATCTGTTTTCGCGGAATCCTTAATACATCAAGGACAAGCAAAATTGAAGCAGAAAGGTTAGATATATCGTACGAAACTATTCGAACCTATCTCAAGGCTAATAACATGAAATGGTGCAGCATCACGTTGATCGACCACGCTCTTACTTAACTTACTGTATATAACGTAAAAATATTACAACATATTGTATTAAAAATAATAAATATGTATAAATATGAATTAATTTGAAAACTATTATAGTTTGTACATTTTGGTATGAGAATTTTTGTCTTATTTTTAAGTCAGGAATATATTAAAATTTTGATCACGAATTGTGGAACACCCTTTATATACATGTACGTTTACCATAACATAATTATAAAAAATAATAAAAAATGTAGGTTGCGAACGCATCTGTTGAGGCAAGCGCGAATAACATAACAAGATTAGAAAGTTTGATAAAAGACCAAAAAATAATGGATGAGAAACTGCGAAAGGAAATAAGCAAGTTGATGCTAAAAAAAATGAATCTACAAACAGATTTCGATAATGCAATCGCCGAGATAGAAAAATTGGAAAAAGAAATCTCCGAAAGAGGGAAGAAGATAAAAGACATCAAGAACGAGCTTAACAGGTAACATAAACAAGTTACATATTATAGATGAATTAATAACTTAATAATTATGCAAAACGGGGCTTTCTTCGAATTTTGACATTTTTGGGCTATAATTTTGATAAAAGTCTGACTTAGACAGTGATAATCAACTGGGGTAGATAAAAAAATGTGTAACCTATCCATTTTTTAAAACTATTTATAGTAAAAATGAAATAAGTGAAGCTTCCCTCAATGACCTTAATCTTGACATATGTTATCAGACATGACCTGAGTGACCTTGAGAAAGATTTAAATATCATTAAAAGATTATTAACAAAAAACTCAAAAAATAACATTCTATTTCTGTACATACAATGTCAAGAACCATACCCTTTCTGGTTTACGACTTTCCACGCGAAGCGAGATCTACCCTCTGTCTAGGGAATAGATGAGATAAATCTCGCTTCGCGTGAAAAACCAAAAGACTCTAGGCAAGGAAAAGGTGGGGTAGAGCGTAGAAAGTCGAAGATATTTCACTATATATTCACTATATAATAAATCACTATAGGAGCTATATTAGAGATAAATGATTAAAAAATAAATAGATAATATATATATA